TTTATTATCTGGCATAGTCAAGATTTTGTCAATACTTTTATTTTCAGATTTAATGATGTTTTAATTCAAACGTCACCATAAAAAGAACTAATACTTAAAGTGAAAGATAAAGTGATATGTACTCGGGAACAAGTTCCCTCAGATTAGCAGTTTTCAGTTTCAGATAGTCTGATATGTTTAGTGGGTCGTTCCCCTGAGTTGTCGGATTGGCGCCTTTGAGTACATATCACGGGTCCACAGAGTAAAATTAGCCACAAAGAGTTTCACAGAGAAGAAATTTTGAGATCTCTTTCAGAAAATTTTATAGAAAGTTTAATGAGATCTCTTTCAGAAAGTTTTAGAGAAAGTCGTTTTTGAGATCTATTTTAGAAAGTTTTACAGAAAGTTTATGAGATCTCTTTCAGAAAATTTTACAGAGATGTTTTGAGAAAGAAATTTTGAGATCTCTCCAATAGTTTTGAGAAATTATTTTAGAAAATATTTTCCTTTTGAGATCTCCCTCAGAATGTATTTGAGAAGTTATGTGTTAGTTAATTGTTCAGTGCATGCTTATAGCCTAAATTTATCTATTGATAAATTGGCCTAGACTTCTAGATATTTTTGTGGAGCCATAGTGACTTACTAAGCGTAAAGCTTATCAGATTTCTTTCTTAGCATGTACAAATACTAAGGGGTAAGGCCAAGGCCTAGGAAGATGATGAAAGAGTGGAACGCATGCCAAGATGAGTTAATGGGAACGACCTTGGCGGCTTCTAGCTAGTTATCATTTTGTTTCAGTATTTCAATTCTTTTGAAATAAGAGATCATTATTACTTTCTTTTATCTAAGAATTTAAAGTTTGAATAAATTCCTGGATCCAGGTGGTTATCACTTTTGTTGGTGATAACTATATTTTATTAAGTTTTTATTTGGATTTGTTTTAGTTACTCTTGAGATTTTATCAGAGTTATTTTCTTAAATAGACGGCCGTTATACTAGAGTTATTTTTAAAAATAGTATGTTAGTGTAACGTTCCCTTTAACCCTTAGAGGGACGTTATATTACTGCTTATGGTTTATTACCACCTAACTCCTGCACTCTTCTGTCAAACTTGTTTTGCATTGTTATTTTTGAGAGTATACAGGGTTATCTTAAAAAAGGGTAAGAGAGTTTTAGAGGGCGAGTCATCTCAAAACACTAAGAGCGCAAAATAAAAAACAAGTGCGGCTTCAGCTTTCCAAGAAATGTTTAGTGGTATGATGCAACAATTTGAAGCGAGAAATAAGGTTGTCGTCTTGTCGAGGAAGTTGCTACTTCAGTGAAGAACATGACTAACGCGAATATGAGTGTTCTAAATTCAATGGATGCTCATACGTCAAAGTATAATATTGAAGATGCTATGGCAAAGTTGTGTTGTTTACCTGATCTCGGTCCACTTGCTCCCGTGTTTTTATTTGCTTGCTCAATTTTGGAGGATCCCCAAAAGAGGATTATTTTGTTCAACTTACCGCATGATGATAGTCGAGTTGCCTATATCCGGTTCATGTATATTGAGCATAAGAAGAGTGCGACTAGTATCGCATAGGCATGGGAAGTGTATCTTAACTTTTTCATTAGGCATGTTTAGACATTTAAAACTTCTTGTGAACTTCTTTTTGTTATGTGATCTAAACATACTTTGAGCATTTCTGTGACATCAATGTTATCAATTATAACTTTAATTTTAAATGTTTACCTTTATATTATACATATTTGATTGTAGGTTTCATGGCTAATTACGACATGTGAAGTAGACAATTCCTTCTCCTATTTCAGCAACAATATATCTTATGTCAACAATATATCTTATGTCAACAATATATCTTTGTTCCTTCTCCCAAGAACGTTTTCAACATTCTGGTGAAACTGTGAGTAGAATTTTCAAAGAGGTTTTGAATGCCATGGATGGACTTTGTCGGGACATACTCGTCCCAACAGATCCCGACTTCAAACAAATTCCCTCACAAATTGCCAATGATGATAGATATATGCCACATTTCAAGATAAATGCATAAATTCATTAAACATGATACATTATTATGAAGTGAGAATATTAATATAATCATGTTTATTAAATTATTATATTAGGATTGTATTGGAACTATTGATGGTACACACATTGTAATAACCGTACCTGAGGAGGATCAAATGCGCTATCGAGGAAGAAAGAGAATACCAACCACGAATGTTCTAGCAGTTTGTGACTTTGATTTGCTATTCACATTTGTTCTAACAGGATGGGAGGGATCAGCACATGATTCACGCATATTCCTAGACACAGTGAACAATCCAAGCCTTAATTTTCCAAAGCAACTACTATTCATTTTTTCTTACATACCATATATCACTTAATTTCCAATTTTAATTTTAACTAGACGTGTTGCTTTTATTTTCTTAGGAAAGTATTACTTGATTGACAAAGGCTATCCAGAAAGATATGGATACTTGACTCCGTACCCTAAGACACGATACCATCAATCAGAGTTTCGTGGATCAAGACCAAGAGGATCACGAGAAATATTTAATTGGGCACATTCATCCTTAAGAAGTTGTATTGAGAGAGCGCTTGGTGTTCTTAAGGCTCGCTGGAAGATATTACAAAAATGCCAAATTATTCATTGGTGGATCAAAACAGAATTATATGTTCATGTTTTGCATTACACAACTACATAAGAAAAAGCAAACTTGATCCGGCTTTTGATTTCATTGATGAAGATCCTGAGTTTATACCCCCTGACGTTATTCCAGATATTCAAGCTAGTACTGCACAAGGTGATGATGGAATGAGAAATCATCAGATGGCGATCATTCGTGATAACATTGCTTCTAGTTTGATGTCATATGGATCTTATTCTTAATATTACAAATATTGCAATTCACGATATTACTTTTTTTTTAAGAATTGTATTACTTCTCAATATTGGTGTAGTTATTTGATGCATTTTATTGTCATACTTTTATCTAGTTAATTTTAAAATAATTTACTCACATATATTAAACATAAAAAACATGCAAAAATTATATACGTATAAATTTATGTACGTATATTATTCTTATATATTAAACATATATTATATGTACGTATAATACATTCTTACTCACATAATTTATGTACGTGTAAATTATAGTCATAACTTCACATTAAACATAACAAAAAAGACATGCAAAAATTTTAAAATGTCCTTTTTTGTCTTTTTACACATTATCCGCTACAAGCAAACAACTAAGTTACCAAACATTTTTCTGCAATCCGCCAAACTAATCCGCTGGTCAAATCCGCTGATCCAATCTGCCATTTACTAACCGCTAACCAAATCCGCTAACCGCTGAGTGCCAAACAGGGCCTAAGCCAGTCGGCCACATTGTCCCAAATGATATACTCCGTATTTAATAATGAACTTGATCAAATTTGATCCTTCGATTATTGTTACAATGAATAACACTAGACATTTGTCTTTAATATTGTTGCTTTTAAGTTTTAATAACTTGAATAAATGCATCAAAACTTTAATCTTCATATTGAAGTTATTATGCAGAGAAATAACTTGAGCAGAAATATACATGACTCCATTGAAGAGGATCTTTCATATCCGAGCAGCGAAGGCTAGGATTTATGTCTTCTAATTGATACATGCCCTCTGAGATGCAGAAAGATGGAATGTTGTGTTTAGCTATAGATCATAACCCCTCTATTTACAACAATTGCTAACCTTAATCAGTCCATCATTAATTAGGATTAAGCCCACCAGTCTATAGACACTTGAGTCATATACTTTATAAGACAACATATATAGCCCACTATAATATCAATATCCATATGATCATTACTTTTTTTGCCTAAACATAATATAACGTATACTCCCTCCGTCCCGTTATTAACTTCCTGCTTTCCTTTTTGGGCCGTCCCAAAATCATCTTCTCATTTCTCTAAATGGAAAGTTATCCTACATCAAAACAGTGTCAAACAGTGTCTAAACAGTGCCAAACAGTGTCTAAACAGTGTCAAACAGTGTATAAACAGTAAAGTCAAATTTATTTCCTAAATATGTGTGTAGGTCAAACTATGAAGTTAATAGCGGGACGGAGGGAGTACTACGTAAGTACATAACACACAATTAAATTCAATAAATAAATAGAATATTGTGAATATTACATGAAGTATGACTCTGTATGAGTCCATTAATTTAACGTTAATCATTAATTTGTTTGCACTATCGCCAACCTCACACTTTTGATTCTCATTTATTGTGACAAAATTCATAGTTGAAAAGTAAAAGACATCACGTACATAATTCTTGAATGATTAAAAGTGAAGAGCTCAAATCAAATATTAAAAATTAAAATGGTCTCAATAATTATAAGATAATAACAAGTGAAAATTTTCGAAATCAAATATTTCAATACAAAATGGTGCAAGTGAATTAGCACATTAAATTAGAGGATTCAATCAGGAGTGTTTGGATCTGATTCTTAAAAACTCCCTGAAGGAGCAGAAACAGAAGTTGGAGTGTTTGTGTGAAAGTGCAGAAGTACTTCTGGTGCTCTAAATTACTCCTAGAATCGATTATTTTAGAAGTTGGGGGAGACCGACTTCTGAAAGCTGATTCTGATTGTGCTTCTACTTTAAAAAAGAAGCAAAATCAGTTCCAAACACTCCCAACTCTAATATTGTCGGAAATAATCACATAAATATGACTAAAATAAAGATGATTTACAAATATATGGCTAGTGACTAGAGTAGTAATGAAATCATAGTAATTCATGTTCATGTTTTGAGCTTAAGTTACCATAACACCACATTGTAGTAATGATTAGTCATATTTATGTAAATATATTTTATTTTAGTAATATCCTTATAAAAAAACCCTTTGTGGGTTTGTAGTTTTGTACTTTCACTACTTTGTAGACAAAATCGGCCTAGATGAGATATGGACCGGACTTTTCACCAAAACCTGCCCTAATACGGCCTAGATGAATATGGACCGGATTTTTACCTTGCCAGGGGTCAAGCCGCCCGCCCACATCTATGCCGTGAGCCAAATAAATAGTCGAAACCTCCCAGGGCCGTCCGGTCTTAATACGCTTGCTTGCCCTTTCGGTTTTGTTATATCCTCTTCCTATCGATAGCGATAGTTTGCTATAGTGATTCAATTTTCTGCCGAGAAATCAAAGTAAACAATGAAAATCTTTGTGAAGACTCTCAAAGGATCCCACTTCGAGCTCCAAGTGGAACCAGAACATACGGTATTGTTTTATTCTTTAATTTTTGTAATGTATATGCGTTGGTTTTTTGCAGCTATGAGTATATAATCGGTGAGGTTTAGCGTCGATTCTTGTGTATTGGCTTGAATAGTATTGAAGTTTCAATTGAATTGGATAAAAATTAGTGTGTTACGGAGGCTGGACTGCAAAATGTCTGATCGTTATAGTTGTCAGGTTACTAATCTGGCCACTGGATTAACTAGATTCGATCTTTTTTTTTGTTTTAAAGGCATCTTTCTATATTATTACATTCCATGTTGATTGCGTAGTTCTAATTTAATTATTCTTTTTTTTTTTGGTGAAAATTGGGACTTTTGTACTTGCTTGTGGGCAAGTTAATAGCTGTAGGTTTTTTGGCCCATTTAGCTTGAAAAACCAGATGAAAAGTGAAGTTTTTCTTCACCAATGGAAATCGCCATTTTTGGTGTTTTTATTCTACTTCAAAATTTCTCCAACTTTTGGGTTTACTTTATTTTTGAGCAAATAGATGAAATTCCAATGTTGATTTTGTATTTTTGGGCCTTTCATTGGCTTTAATATCATTTAAAAACCTATATGGATTTTAGATTGCTGATGTGAAGAAGAACATAGAGACTGTTCAAGGATCAAATGTTTATCCTGCTAGCAAGCTGATGCTTATCCACCAGGGGAAAGTTCTCAAAGATGGCACAACTCTGGAGGAGAATAAAGTTGCTGAAAACAACTTCGTTGTCGTCATGATGGCAAAGGTAAATGTTCAGTGCTTTTACTTGTTCCTATTATGGTATTCCGTATTCATAATGCATCCATTAAGGTTGCAAGTTCATGGTGAATGAGTAATTAAATGAGTGGAAGAGGAATGTATACCATTTTAGAATAAGGTAATTACCCAGATGCAATATTTACAACTTCATGCAAAATTGTTGTGAACAAGAGAGAGTTCATTAAAGAGAGAATATTAGAGTGTAGAAGCTAAAACACTAAAAGAAAACATTTAAGCAGATATCTTCAGAAAATGTTTGCAATATTCTGCCAACTTCTCCAAGCATGCATAATTATGTACTTTGATCTTTCTTTAGCTACACAGAATGACTATGTCAATTCAAACACAATAATGTATGTTAAGTTTATATTAAAAAGTTATATCCACAATGACAATCAACTCTCAATTTCAATGTGTTCTTTGTGTTCACGGAGAACTTTTTTTTTGGCGACATGAGTAGACGCTTGACTGTCACACCACAACTTTAAAGGAGTATGGACCTCAGCCCCAACTTCTCTTAGCAAAGCTATAGGTCCTTCTTAGTTTGCAACTCGTTTGCGCTATTGCTCGCTTGATCACGAAACCACACTTAGCTTCTTACTCTTTCAAGAAACTAAGTTATCTCCTACAAAGACACAATATTTTGCAGTAGATCGTCTGTAACATGGCGAAATATTGTGGTACATAAAACTTGTATATCCATGACTACCATGACATATACGTAGTAATTTTTTCCTGGAGAAATATTCACATATTTAATTATCTATATTGCTTTTCCCTGCTGCCACCATAGGAGATTCCATAAACCCAGTCACAACATTGATGCACATGACTCTCATGACATTGCATTAAGAAACCCAATATCCTTTAGAAAATCCAACACATACCTTCATTCTGAAAGGAATATCCTTTTTTTCCTTTGAGATACCTCAATTTCCTAAAAAAGAATTAGTGACCCAAAATCCTATTTGTGAAATTTGATATGAATTTGAAGCAGTGCTATTAATAGCGGAATGTGAATTATGGAGGAAACTCGCCGGAAAGACTAAAATCCACTATATAAATATAGCAGATAACATTGTTGTAAATAGCGAAAATATAACAGATGAGGTAAAACAAATTACATATTTAATATTTATATTTAAATATCACTAGATATAAACAGTAAGTAATATAATAGATTTTAGTAACATCAAAATAGTTAGAATCTTATAACTAAACTTCAAATCATAGCACAAAACTAGTAAACAATCAAAGTTCAAAGTTTTCTTAAAAGGAAGTCTTAATAAACTGCATATTAAGTCAATAGAGCTGCCAAGTTTCAATTTTAACAGGTTCTAGTATTCTTCTTCAGTGCCAACATAATAGAATAGAAGCACCAATTTAAACTGCTATTTTGGACGAAGAGTTCACATTATCATTGAAAGAATCTAAGAGTAAGATTTTTGAAGAAACAAACAGAGGCAGCGCTCACAGTGAAGGAAGGTAGGCAATGGAGAATGGGTGCAGATTCTTACTGTTCTGAACTGATGAGTAGAGGTTGCATACGAGGAAGCAGAGATGAGGCGAGAGAGAGTAGACGAGAAACAGACGATCGCAGGGATTTTTTGGATTAGATAAAATACAATTACTTTTAAGACTTTTAGCAAATAAACCAGCTGGGAAGATAGGCCTGCTTTTAAGGTTTAATTAAAGAGACCATAAAATTGTATCAGCAGATGGGTCGGCAGCTAAGGAAAATTGAAAAAAGTCAAAAAAACAGGCCAGTTGTTCAGACAATCCAAAAGACCCAACATGGTGCCATATCACCATAATGCCACATCGGCATCTGTCATTGCAGCGTGATGACGGTTCAGCATCACCATTGCTATACCGTGGCGGTTTGCTCAGATTCCGTGACCGCTATCCACCATGTCTTTTATTTGAAAACTCTAGATTGGAGTGCCTTGCGTTCTTTGATACGTTTTGCATCATTACATGTGATCACAATAAATATCATCTAACATACACTATCAAGGGTTTCCACCAACGATTAGTATTTGTCAAATGTACAACATGATCATGAGCAATTTCATACAACCCAAGTTCTGATACCCTGCTGCTAAAAATAGCAAGCTTTAAGTACATTACAAACTAAATACGAGAGGAATTCACCCTTAAGTTAATGCAATGTTGTCTAAAACTAATGAAAATTAATCGAAACAAGGAGTCTTGTTGATCCTCTATAGAAGTATTTTGAAGCCAGATTCTAGGCTCTTAAAGTTGAAAAAGTTGGTCGCACATTGGTATGCAGTAATGCAGAAATGTCATCTAATTACTTGTGTAAATAGGTTTTCTTTACCTAATCAGTTCATGTGAAGCTGAGAAAATATCTTTTCAGAATAATCCTGGGACCCCGTGATTGCCTGCTTATTCTTGGAATAACCATGGCACTCTAATTTATTTTGAAAAATAAGTTTTCAAGATAAATATGAAATGTGTTTAGCACAGGAAAGTTGTATATTCACCCTCTATGTATGAAGCATGCCAACATACATCTTGACCTAATTGACATATTATGGATTTGGTGATATGTCATTGTGTTGATCCTTTTTTTCGTTCATGATGTTTTTTCAACTTTTAACTTACCTCATGTACTTCACAGAAGCTGGCGTACAGCGTACTGCACTATATGTCTCTTTTTGACCATTTTATCTTCATAGTTACTCTTTGAGGGCTTCAAGTAAGCCATATCTTGTGAAGGCTCAATGAATTTTATTCATAGCTGATTTTTTCTTTTTGTATCTGGTTATTCGAATTTGTGGCATTTTAAGAGTAAGAGCACACCTGGAGAAGGTTCAGCATCTGCTACACCTGCAGCCAAGGTTGGTAAAACTATACTTAATACTATAAAATATTTATCATTTTGTTTATTTACTGAAGGTGCTATAAAATGTACATGACTGTATTTTCATATCGTATTTTACCAAATGCTAAGAAGTCAATCTAGTATAACAAAAAATCTACAATTCTAGGAAAGGATTATTTTTCCTTTGTACTAATTCTGAAATGTTCATTATTTGGGTTCCAATAGTACTTTTAGTTCACTGTGAACAACTATATGAGAAAAAAGGATTGATAAAGCCTTTAATATCATGGCTGCATATATAACTATTCTATATCATACTGTACTGTACTATACTTGTTGTGACTGATGGTGACAACTCAATATTGTTCTTTGGATTTGCAGGAAACACAGGTTACCAGCAACCCACCTGCCAGCTCAACTCCAGCTTCTACAACTACAACTACAACTACTGCGTAAGTTTTTTGCTTCAATATATTCTTGCAATTTCTGTATAAGCTTAATTATTTTTTATGTTTTAGGTTTTTATGAGAATCTTCACATATTTTTTCCGCTTTTGAACTTTTATAATTTACTTTTAATTTTAATTCCTGGAAATGTTTTGCAGGCCAACTCCTACCCCTGTTGCAACCCCAGCCCCTGCACCTTTGGCAACTGCTGGGTGAGCTCATCCTTCCAGTGGGCGACATGTTTTTTGATTGGATTATATCTAAATGTAGATCTTGTATAATCATTAATAACATCTTAAGCATTTTACATGGACAGATCAGGAGATGTCTATGGTCAGGCAGCTTCTAGTTTGGTTGCAGGAAACAACCTTGACGTAGCTATCCAACAGATTCTTGATATGGGTGGGGGAAGCTGGGACAGGGACACTGTTGTTCGGGCTTTGCGTGCTGCTTATAACAATCCTGAGAGGGCTGTTGAATATTTATATTCTGTAAGTTATGTTTTTCACATTTGCATTTTTCCTGGGGAAGGCTGTTTGCTATTGACTATACTAAAGGTGAATTTAGGTAGGAGTCAGGGTGTGATTCTCATCTCTGTAAAATATATAATCTGATGAGAGTTTTTAACATATGGTGGTTTGGATCTCAGGTCTGAACCTTTCTTGCCTGGTCTGGTATAGTGGTATCAATAATTTTATGTCTGAAATGTAACATCTGTTTGATATGTGTCTGGTCTGGCCCGTCTGTCATAGTTTGGTATATCTATTGCCTAAAAAGCTACTATGGACTTTACCTTACCATGGTTCTTTTCAGGGTATTCCTGAGTCAGCTGAAGTCCCTCCTGTGGGAGGTGGTAATGTACCTACAGAGCAAGCTACAAACCAGACTGCTCTGCCTCAGCAAGCGACACAACCTGTGAATGTTCCTTCAAGTGTTCCAAATGCAAATCCTCTAGATTTATTTCCGCAGGCATGATTAAGTTCACAATTCTTATTTGTTTGAGCAGTTCTATATGTTATCTTGTCAATGGATACGAACAATTACTTCTTTTTGACAGGGTCTTCCAAGCATGGGTTCCAATACAGGAGGTGCACAGTCCTTGGATTTCTTGCGCAATAGCCCGCAGGTTTACCTTTTACTCCTGTTGTCCTCTTACGCGATTCTTGCCCAAAATCTTTCTCTAGGTAGTGATAATTGGATGTATGGATTAGAGCTTATGTGTTCAAAAAATTGTTTTCTGTTCTCAGTTTCAAGCCTTGAGAACAATGGTCCAAGCAAACCCACAAATCTTACAGGTTTCACTCTTCAAGAAGTCTATAGTTAATTGAGATCGTGAATTAATACATACTAGTATGTTATTCATTTATTGTTATTATCATTGCTTTTAATTTATAATAATTTTTTGGTTGCAGCCCATGCTTCAAGAATTGGGAAAACAGAATCCTCAATTAATGAGGCTTATACAGGAGCATCAGGCTGATTTTCTTCGCCTCATCAATGAGCCTGCTGAAGGAGGAGAAGGGTACATTTGATCTTAGGTTTTGGCATATTTTTTTGATACATAATTTACAAACCTAACTTATGTTTTTATTATCAGCAACGTACTTGGGCAGCTTGCAGCAGCAATGCCCCAGGCGATACAAGTAACACCTGAGGAGCGTGAGGCAATTGAACGTGTAAGTGCTTATTCTCTCCATGATTTGGCATATGCATACTCTATTCAATGGTTTGTTTGTGTGATCATATGCAAAACGTCCCATATGAGATGCAATCGATTTTAAATAGAAATATAAGGCGGTGTTATGGTAATTTTGAAGCAATTAATCTGCATCATATATATAAAGTGCATGATTGTCTACCCAAGTGTGCGTCGATGTATAATAAACAATGCACTTGCTGAATGGAATGTGGATTAATGACAAAAACAAGGTAGCAATTTTGTAAACATGCATAAGAGTGCTATCACTTGTAAAAGCGTTACACTATATCAAATGGTATTGGTTCTCGAACTATGTTAGTACTTCATCTTTGGCTGATCATTTGTGTGATGGTTGTTCTTCATTCATTCTCATATCTTAAATGATGATGTGTTCTCAAATGTATATAGATCCCCCAAAACATGTGTTTGTATTACAAATCTTAGTAACAAAATATTAATTTTTAAGTGATGCGGCACAATTAGATTTGTGACAGGTGATTGCTGTTAGTGCCAGTCAGTATACACTTGTCATGATACTTGTAGTTGATAGGGACTGAATTCTAAACGGTCTAGCGTAATTAACTTTCTTTTTCATCATACATTTCAGCTCGAAGCGATGGGATTTGATCGAGCACTTGTACTGCAAGTATTCTTTGCTTGCAACAAGAACGAAGAGTTGGCTGCCAACTATCTGTTGGATCACATGAATGAGTTTGAGTAATGATGGAAAAAATTGAGTTTCGATTAATTGTTATAGTAATTTTCCTTTCTCGTGCTAATGGTACACACGCATTAGCTTCCCATTCAGCATTTTGTGGTTTCCGTGTGCATTGTAACTATATTTCTGTGGTTGAATTTCGAGTGATTTTGTGTTATAAACATATGTCGAACATAGATTATTAATGTGTACCAGTAGTATTTTCAAATATTGTCTTTTAAATTCCGTTTAAAGTTTGTTGACGCCATTACACAAGTTGAATTGGCTTGTCTTTATATTTCGAGGTGTGAATTGCAAGTTTATTGGTAGTACCTCTTGCAGACATCATTTGTTCCAATAGAAAAACAAATAACAAAGTAAATAATTTTATACATAGTAATATTTTGTTCGTAAACAACAAATTCAATACATACAAAGGGATGGTGAAGGACTGGGCTTGGGACCTTGGGTCATTTTCTTTTTCTTTTTCTTTTTTGAAAAATTGGTTAAAAATTAGAATTGGAACCTGTTTTTCTGTATAAGGTTTCAGTTCCTTTTTACAATTTCACCTCTAGAATTGAATGAGTTTAGGACTCTTGGAGTCTGATGCATGAAGGTGAAACTCACATCTGTCACTTTGGGAAATAAGACAACAATATTACTCAGTGCTGCAAAAGCTTCCACCTACGGAGGGGTAAGATGGATAGGTGGGTCGGATGTATGTAGTTCTTACTCTTGTACTAAAGCATATAGTATCTGTTTTCGGATGATTCAAGATTAAAGTTGCATAAAAAATTGCATGACTGATTGCTACTTCATAACAAAGAAGTGTGGATAGTTTAATGGACTATATTGCTTTATTCTATTATATTCTAAAGTAATAAAATAGCAAGTGTTTGACTCCATTAGAAATGAAGAAAAATTATACCACCTCCATCCCGAAAAAGTTTGCTATATTGATTTTCTTGGTCAATGAAGGCAAATTTTGGACAATGATTTTAATTATTAAATTATATATAATTCATAAATTTTATACTTTGATGAAAATATTTTGAATAAGGAACATTTTGATTTAATTTCATATTCAAAATAATTTCGTATTAAGAAAAGCAATTTGACGAATATTTTTGTAAAGTAGGGAGTATTTGTGGGTTTTGTTTTGTCTAGCACGTGACATTTAGGCATTTAGCACAATATTCATGATTCATGAATAAATTTTTTCATTTTTTTGACACCCAATTTCTTCTTCATTAAGAAAGTAAATGTTCATATCTATCATAAAATATGATGATATTGGATGTGAAATAATTCAAAGGATTGAATTCTGAGTTCGTATACCGTGGTATCACTCCACGGTGAGCACCGTGCTCCCACACCCAAAACGATGTAGTTTTGCACATTTAAAAAAAAATCGCGTGAACAGTAACGCGTGAACAGTACACGCATGTACATTAACTGTTTTTTGTCCCGGTAGTATGAGTGATGTAACTCGTGTGTAATGATATGTAAATCACCTTATTGATCAATGTAACTCAAGTACAGTCGAAATGTAACATGTCAAATATGTAGTGTAAGAAGTAAAACATTGATTTCAATGTAAATAATGAAAAAAAGAAGTCTAATTACCCAATAATTTTACAATAGTGTATATGTTTTGTTTTTAAGATCAGGGCTATAAAAAATATATTTTTTATAAAAATAATTTTTCTTTGAATATCAATTGTTTATTGTGTTGTGTAACTCGCATTATATTGGGATGTAACTCGTATAGTATAAAGTGTAAATCACGTGCAAGTATGATTTAACTTGCTGAGGAAAGTTGACATATAACTCACGCTAATAAACATGTAACTTTAGGCAAATGCTGATGTAACTACATGTATTTTCAGATGTAATTTGGCCAATCAAAATATAAATTGTTTAAACTGTAATATGTGTGTGTGTGTGAAGATTCCTAATCAGCTTCATTGTTGCTCATGCTTGGACAACAATAACACCCATCACAAATATGTAATCAGAAGCTTCTTCCGTTCTTCATCTCTAATATTTGTGGATGCATCCATTAATGCCAATAGTGTTGGATATCAGTGGAAGGAACGGAGGTGGCCAAGCCAAAGCCAAAGCATTCATTCACACACATACATGATTATTTGATCGCTGGATGAGATTGTTGCAATCAGTCAAAAGCCAAAGCTAAATAGGATTGCTTTGGTTTGTGTTGGCCAGATCCAATTTGACGCTCGCCGGCTGCGTGCATGGATTCTGTGTAGGATAACACAACTCTTTCTTTTTTAACTAAACGACACCGTTTAGAGATCGGTACACCATGCTCATGGTGCACCGATCCCATGGTATAATTTGCGTTAAATTCTTATTATTTTCATGATACCATTGTCCAACTATATTTTCAAACATTCTGGAAGCAAGAAATATTGGATAAGGCGGTAGAGTTTGAAAACCTTACAATGTGAAAGTTGAAGCTTCATATATAAGTAGAGGCTGTAGTAGAGCTACGGCTTTTTCTTTATTTCTGATAGTATATCTTTGCATATTTATATCAATATGTAGATGGACTAGGGATGAACCTAGGTCAGAGCCGGGGCCAGTATCAACAGTACTGGTCTCGGGTCAGTCCTGAGTCGGGCTGTTCGGGCCCAATCCATCCCTAAGATAGACTTTCTTCATCAAATAATTTCCTTATGTTAGCCAATTATAACCTGTATTAGTCAACCTACTCCTACATAGTCCAGCTTACTCAAAATTCCTCTCTAAAGTAGCACTATACGGATCAGCCTACCTTGTCAAAACTGAAACAAAAATTGATCGGCTTTAGGGTTGGGTCCGAAAAACCGAAAATCGAATCAAATTATACCGAACCGTAGCCAAATAAAACCGAACCGCTAACAAATCGAAACCGAATATAAAAACCTGAACCGAATCGTAGCTGTTTGGTTCGGTTTTGGTTTTTACCCTTCAAAACTGAACCGAACAAACCGAACTAATTAAAATGTAAAATTTATTTGTCAATTGTTAAGCATTAATCCTAACTAATCCTAATATCATTAATAGTCTTTGATTTTCTTGTGATAGAGAAATAATGTTTGTGTTATGTTTCGTTTCGTTTAGTTTAGTTTATAAATTCATTTACACATTCATTACCTGTAATAATGTAGCTATACTGAATGATGCATGATAATATGTTTTTACTAGTTATTAGTATTAAAAAAAATTATTTTTATTTAACTTAAAGAATTCATATTGATGAAACAATAAATATTCATCTCAACTATATCACATAGAACATATATGCTCATGAACTTTTTTTGAACTAGTCACAAACAATGTAAATTAATAATATATATACTTTTATCTCTCTCGCATACTCATATAATTCCAGACATAATTATTTATTTTCATTTTTATTTTATTTGTTGTAGTGTGCTTGCATTCTTTATGTAATATGTTTGATCCCTCAAAGTATTATATCATTTTTTAAATCAATTTTTTGATAAAAAAAACCGAAAAACTGAAATTGAATCGAAACAAACCGAACCAATCAAACCGTGGTTCCAAGTTTTGGAGTGTGAAACCGAACCGAAACCGAACCGAACTTTTTACTTTGATTCTATATTTGGTTTTATGTCAAAACCAAACCGCAAGAACCGAACCCACCCCTAATCGGCTTTAAGTTAGCTCTGAGGTCTCTGAGTTCCACTTTCGGAAGATTCAGTCGAATTATCCAATTTCAATGTTGTCAAACGGATTCTATGTTTTCTCAGTTCTAACTTACCACCCCAAAATTCTAGTCCGATTCTGAGTTTTTAGATTTGACTAGGGTGAAGGTTAACTTCTACCTCCCAATAATACAGTTGAATCACAAAAAATTGGATTTAATATATATCATCACCATCATCCCAGTGCCACAAAGTCTTACCCCTGTATAAAGAATAGTGATAATATTTTTGGGGAAATTTAATAAATACATGATAAAATTTTGATGCATATAATTAGAGATAAAAACTATGTTGACTAGTAGATGTTAAATTGAGACTAGTTTTGGGATAGAGGTAATATAAAGAAATAATGACAAAAATATGACCAAAATAAAAGTAATTGATAGAAATATGGCTCAGTGACTACCATAATACTCCGTAACTTTTAGTTACCATGATAGTGTCCAATTTTACCCTATAGTGACTACACATAGTAACTATAGTAATATTTTTATCCATGAGTTATATTTCAGTATTACTTACGAAAAAAATTCTAATATAAAACGACAAGAACATAAGTAATGTTAATAATAATAAAAAAGTTTAGTTATTATCATTGTCTCTCTTGTGTACGCAGACAATTGCTTTCTTTTTCTAAACGAGATGCTTGTATATATACACAAGCAACTAGAAGTGTACACATTTTGCATACATTTTACACTTGTCTATGTACATAGATAATTGTTGTTTTTTCTTAAACGAGATGCTTGTGTACACAAGAGAGAGTGTCAAATGTGTACAAATTAAGAGTTTGATAATCCATATTTTTAATTTAAAAACCATTATAATACTATTTTATAATAACTTTCCAAACCGAAACATTTTGATCGGTTTAAAGTTCATTTTTAAGAGTCAGATTGGTAATCAATAATTTTAATTTATCAGCCTTAGCAGTGAACACATAACTTTCGATTTCACGTGCTGAATTCTGCAATAATCAAAATTAAAATAAGTAAAGTTAAAATTACATTTCTAGAAATTGGATGAAGTCAATGTGGAAAGCTTTTTTGCTATTCTCTCATATAATATTCTTATTTTATTAATAAAATACATTTTAAATGTCATTTATCATAACTTAGCGGATTCAACTAATTCAGCCACTTCAGTCAACATTTTATCAATTTTAACATAATGAACCGATTCACTGACATTCAGTATTATCAAACGGCGTGATTATAAATCAGAATGTGTGACATATAAGAGTTTACTTAGAGATAATTACTGCATTCAGAGTAAATAATACTCCGTATTACGTAATAATTATCCCTCCACTTTATTAAATTAGGCTTATTCAGTTGGGGCTCTTTTTAATGCTCCGTTTTCTTGACCAAAAAAAATTAAGCTTAATCTGTTATAGTTCTAGCACTTTCATTTTCATGTTTATCGACACACAAATTTAATCATCAATATGTTTAATTTTCTATTAATAGAAAACTTAAATCAATTCAAAGTTGGGAAATTTAAAACATTCATAAATTAAAAATGGACTAAAATGAATGAAATAATAGTCAATGTCAGAATAGTCTTCGGCTCTTCGCCTCGTCTCCTCCGCAATAAAGTGAAATTTGGAG